GCAATTTCTGTGCAAGAATTATACCAGATGACTGAAAAGTATAAAAATATTTACATGTCTAGGGTTTTTTTAAAATATGTACAGAACAAAAGCCCTGAAGACTCATTCTACAGAATGAAAATATAGGACATGATAGTAGTAACAAAAAATAATATATATTTTTATGGAATTGTATTTGCAGTTAGTTACAAGTTATCTAAACCACAAAGCTTCTTGATCTATCTCAAAGCTTGATGGCAATAGAGAATATGCTCTTCCTTTTAAAATACACTCTGCATAATTTTTAAACTTCAGTTACAATAATGAAATACAAAACAAAATTACTTGTGTATCCTAATTCAGTCTATTCTATTTTCAAAAAACTGTAATGTATGATATTTAAGTCTTATTTTCTTCACTGGTCATTATTACATTAATGAATTCCAATCTCGAGTAGCCTCCATCAAATGCCTCTGTCCATGTCCTACCCAATTATCCTGATTGTCAAATATTCTACCACAAAACCAGCAGCTAAACTTAGCTTTCAAGGTATTATCAGAGGTAGTTTTCACAATCTGGTAATTGTTTTTGCTAGTCTTTTTCAGTGTCAATTTTAAGACAAATCTTTCTTTTACAGGGCTAATAGGTTTTATCGTCCTGTGCCTCTTTTGAGAAAGATCATCAGTAGTTACATCCAAAGGATTGCAGAAGGCCGGCCGCAGAAGCGCTTCAATAGTTCTTCTTGACAATGAAACCTTAAGAACATGTCCTTTAAATTTAGCAATGGTTTTCATTACATTTACAACTTCTGGAACATCTGCATCAGGATGGTTAAGCACAACAACTGGTTGGTTTCTCCGAGGGCACTTTACAAGCTGTTTAGAATTAAAAGGAAGTAATTTCAAAGTCCTCACAGTTTCTTTTGATGCCCTTGGTTTGTAAGGGCCACCTGATTCACTAACAACTTCAGCTTGATTCTTTTCCTTACACTTTCTGTGCAACATTACTTTCTTTCTTGTAGGTTCTGGGCAATTACCCTTACTTTTCCATTTGAAATTCTTGTTTCTTTGCACACCCACAGTTTCTGAACTTTCAGACCTAGCTTGTTTTAAACGAGGTTTTATTTTTGCAGTTCTGCTTCGAGTACTCCATGTGGACTTCTGACTACCAAAGTTATTCCTGTTCTTAACAGTTATTACTTGAGTACTCTCAATAGAACCTTTCTGCAACTGTGTCCCTGCAGACTTAGTAGAATAAATGGGTTCTACAGGAGAAACACAACACGCTGGATTAGAGCTTGCCAAAGAGGCATTTGCTGGCATTAACCTACCTGGTAGGATTAAGGCATCATTAGAAGTAAGATCAGTTTGTTTCCGTGCTAGTGCAGGAGTAAGGGACTGCAAGTTATCCAACGGTAGTGAGGGCACTGAGTTGCTTACTGACTGAGTGGTATCAGCCAATGTATCTGAAGCAGAAGTCTTAATTTTCAGCAAAAGCTTTTGTTGCATGGCTCCAGGTTTCTTTGGTTGACAATTTTGATAATGAGCATTACCCTGAAAAACACTATGTTTATGAACTACAGGCTTGTTTGGCGTCATACATTTCAAAAAAACTGCTGGCTGTCCATCAGGCAAAAGTGCATAAACATGTTGTTTCTGTTTAATTTCCTGTTGGTTTACGGACTCCAATGAACCAAAGACAGCATCCTTATGCTCTGATAACACCTTCACAGAAGAAATTCCTTTCACAGATGACTCTGAGGAGCTTGTAATTACCACAGGTCCTTTGAATGGCATGCTATTCAATGAGTCATTTGCTGTACTACATCTTCTGTTACAGGAACTTCTTACACTTCTGAAACTGTCATGTTCCCCCTCCACTTTTGAAGCTGGTATAGTTATTTTACCATATTCACTGGATGCAACTCTCCCTAAAACCTGAGAACTATCACTAGGGACATTTGCAACTGTTCCAGCTGCTCCGCTAAAAGTCAAAATCATTCCAGGTCCTTTATTTAAAACAAAAGATGCAGGTACACCTTTAGTCATATGCCCATCTGACGAACTGGTTGATGGCAAGGATTTTCCTGAAATGACCTGTAGTCCAGGCTGGTTAGCAAGATGCAAAGGAACAAAAAATCCTGATGGAGGGGACTGAACTAAAAAGGTTTTCTTCGGCTCCTGAAGAACTGGTGAAAATCTGCTAGGATTTTGGGTTGTAGACAGTATTTTCTCTTTTACTAACTGCTGTTTTATGATTGCATCGGTATGAGTTCTTAGCAACACACCAACACCTGGAGTTCCGGATAATTTATCAATTTCCTGTGAACCAAATGATGTTCTGGGTGTCTGTCTCTCTCCCCCACAACGTGTACTTTCACTTGTGCTACATCTTGTGTTCACCTCTCTCTTATATAAATGAAAGCCTACATTAGTAGGAGGCCTCTCAAAACCACATGCAGTTGACGAGCTTTTTAAATGCGTAAAATCTTTATTCCCTGTCTCGTGACCAGAAAGCAGCATGTCAGAATGAAGTTTTACGCAGTTATTTGACTTGCTGTGGGATTCTTGCTCAGTAGTTGCTTTAACTTTTAACACATCTTGCAGTAACTGGTTTATTTCAGGTGACAAATAATTAGCTGCTTGTTCACTCTGCAATGAGAAAACAGATGTGATTTTAGGCATTAAGACCGAGTTAACGCAATCAGAGACATTTTCTTGGAATTTCTCAGTTACGTTCTCAAAGCCTTGATGTATGTTAGCATCCAAACACTGCTGACCATTATACTGGTGCTCCATAAAACACTCGCTGTCAACACACTTAGATTGGCTTTTAGAAGACACAGGGTTATCCTTAGTGTTTAAGTGTCCATAAGTTTTATTAATATTTGATTGGGCTGATACAACTTTCTCTGGTTTTAAGCCTTTCATCAACTCTGATAATGAAGATGCGGATTCACTTCTACTGTTTTGAAAAGAAACTCTTTTGCCAGACAGAAATTCCTTGTATCTCTCATCTGTTGACATCCAAATGCTACATGGATTATCCGAAGTGTCCGTTTTGGAATAGTTGTGAAAAGACAGCAACCCTTCATTAGAAGAATCCACTGAAGTTGAATAATAGAGATTATTAGTTCCATTACTGTTACTCAGGCCACCATTTTGCATTTTCAGTTCAGGAAAGAAGGGCATTTTCATACGGTCATAGTGAAGCGTATTTGTAACAGTGGGTGATAATACCTGAGGATGACTTGGAGGATTATAGCTTCCCCACAAGATATTACTCTGAGTTCCAACTTTTGACACCTCATCACAGGTAGGCACTGTAGAGCCCAACTTCATTGGCAAATAATTCAAACTTTTTCCTACAGCTACATTAGAAGGTGCCACAGTTTTAGAAACACTCCTACCACACAATAAGGAATTATTTTGGTTTTCCATTTTTGTTTTTCCTGAATGAGGAACAGAACAAGAAAATGGAGGGGAAGTTAACGGGTGAACAGAATTGTTCTTTAAGGTTGACTGATCATTTACATGTGGTATAGCACCTGAAGAAAAGCCATAGGGATCAGCAGTCTGTAGCAAAGGAGTTGTAGAACCATCTTTAATAAGATCAGCTTTCTGACCCAACAAATGTACATTTTGCTTACTTGTAGGTAACAATTTTATAACAATATGTTGTTTTCCATCTACCATTTTAAATCCCATAAATTTAGCACTGTAATTTGCTGGAACAGATATTTTATTGTTTTTGACCACCAATACTGTTGGCCCATGAACAGTATTTTTCAATAATCCCAGGCCATAAGTTGTTCCATCCTCTACTTTATTGTACTGTGCAGTAGTAGCAGAAAGCATTCCACTTGTGAAATTATGCTTTTCTGTATACATAATTTGATCTTTTTCTTCATTTGCTTCCACATCTCTCATATACTGGTTCAGCTCCTCAGCTTTTGCTTGAATTTTATTCACACTTCTTAGTATGTGTGCATTTTTTTCTCCAGTTTTGTCACTTCCACTGCTTATTTTTTTACGTCTCCAGAGTGCTTTTTTTGATGCTCCCATTTTACACCTTCTTAACACAAGCTTCAGTCCTGCTGGAGTCTTCACTATTCTTTTTTCACATTTATCCTTTTCCAGTTTTTCTTTTGCATACAAGTGGTCTCTATGCAAAGATACGATGTGTTTTAAAAGATGATCTTTCCGTAGTGTGCTGTAGCTGCAATACTGACAACTAAAAGGAAACATACTGGTATGAACAAGATGATGTTTCTGGAATTCCTCTTTTGTAAAGCTTACATGATGGCATTTTCCACATTTATATGGAATCTCATTATGTCTGTGAATGTGTTGAACAAATGTGCCCGCATCCTGGGTAGAAAACCCACATTTTTCACATTGAAAGTGACCATTTACACAATGCTTTGATGTGAAGTGTTTTGTCAAATCCAACAAAGTGTACATATGCTCATCATTACAGAGCTCACATTTTACTAAACTGCTACGGTGGGTGTGTCTATGCTGTTTAAATGACTGAAAGTCATTAGCCGAGAAGTTACACATTTCACACGGATACAAAGGCAACTCGCCATAGTGTAACAGCTGAAAATGTTTCTGCAGGTCATTTGGGCTATATCTAACATTATCCTTGCACTTTGTGCAAGTGAAATTCAGTACCTTTGCTGCAGTTTTCAACCCTTCTTCAAATTGCACTTCTGGTTTACTTTGCCAGTGGCTTCTCTCTGAACAACTGGGATTGCTTCCATGTATTTTCTCTAGGCTTAAGGACTTCCTTGCAGTTTGAAGAAGATGTTGTTTCTGGAACTCCTCTTTTGTAAAGCTTACATGATGGCATTTTCCACATTCATATGGAATCTCATTATGTCTGTGAATGTGTTGAATAAATGTGCCCGCATCCTGGGTAGAAAACCCACATTTCTCACATTGAAAGTGACCATTTACACAATGCTTTGATGTGAAGTGTTTTGTCAAATCCAACAAAGTGTACATATGCTCATCATTACAGAGCTCACATTTTACTAAACTGCCACGATGGGTGTGTCTATGCTGTTTAAATGACTGAAAGTCATTAGCCGAGAAGTTACACATTTCACATGGATACAAAGGCAACTCGCCATAGTGTAACAGCTGAAAATGTTTCTGCAGGTCATTTGGGCTGTATCTAACATTATCCTTGCACTTTGTGCAAGTGAAATTCAGTACCTTTGCTGCAGTTTTCAACCCTTCTTCAAATTGCACTTCTGGTTTATTCTGCCAGTGGCTTCTCTCTGAACAACTGGGATTGCTTCCGTATATTTTTTCTAGGCTTAAGGACTTCCTTGCAGTTTGCTGTTTACACTGAAAGAGTTTTCTAAATCTATCCACTTCATGTTTCATTAATACTTCATTTGGAATGTTCACCTTGGGTAAATCAATTTTCACATTTTTTAGTTCATAAGAGAGATCGACATCTAAAATTGCTGGTTGAGTCATCATACTTAAAGGATCGTTCATCAGTGCTTTTTCCAAACTAGCATCTGTAGAAAAATTGTTTGCAGCATTGTGTTTCAACAAATTAATTTGCTTTTTATCACAAAAAACCTGTTCCTTTTCAGATGGCATGATTTTAGGTTTTCCTTTAAGTGAATTCTTGAGATTTGTCTTGGTTCCTGCAGCAAGCAAGACTATTGTGCCAAGTTATTCTCAAGGTTCTAGAACTTCCTTGTTTTATTCTCCTGAAATTAGAAAACAAACAAAGCAAATATTACTTTTAAAACTAATGCAATTAGAACACTCATTACAATTCATTAATAAACACATGCCAGTCTTGGAAGTTGTTGATTCTTATAATAGCATGTGAGAGAAAAAACAATGAGGCAAAAAAAATGAGACATTACACTGCAACTTTTTTTTTTGGGGGGGGGGAGGGGGTGTTTATTTGTTTGTTGGGTCTGGTCCCCCCCCCCTTAATATACACAAGTCTTGAAAAACAAGTTTTAAAGAACAACATCTACTGAAAGATGAAAACATTGAAATTCCATGCCATCAAATTTTGGTTTTCTCCCACCCACAACAGCCTGTAAGCATGAGAAATACCAAGAGCTGCTTTTTTAAAAAGAAGCTAGCATTTATTACTTATTCAGGATTTCAAGCAAATATAAACACAGCACCTCCTCTGCTACATGGATCACCAACTGAACCTAGCTGAAGTACTAAAAACAAGTCAAATTCAGCACGAGCTGATATTTTTATTGTCTGCTACTCTATTAGTAGCTAACTATTGTGCTTAAAAAGAAAAGGGAAAAAACCTCAAAACCTGATAAAAGATCTCCTTCACTAACAGTGACTTTACTTTTATCATCACCAAGAAACCCACCACACTCATCTACAATGCATTTTTTGCATGCCTACCTTTAGTATCACACAAGACAGAAGTAGTCAACAGATGAAAGTTAACTCTGGTTTCTCACCATATGTTCCTAGGTATAGGTTAATCTTTTCAGAACATGTGCATGATTGACAGGACTACTCCTCTGTGGATTAAGAGGCTCAAATAGGTATGGTCAGCATCATTGTCTTGCTACAGACCTCATGTCAGTGTTTCCGTAACAGGCTGCACTGACACTTCATAGCAGCTCAAGTCAGTGCTCGAACACCACTCCCACATGTCAACATAAAATCATCAGAAATGGAATAGCAGTGAAAATAACTGGGATTTTGAAAAGTAGAACTGAAAACCGTTTCTTCACTACTACTATATAACAACTTTTTGTAAATTTTTTATCCATAGTAAAAGTCACAGCATCACTTTCTTCTTTAGTAACAAAAGTTAGTAAAGTGTCATCTGAAATCTGATCAGCAGCTCTGTCTCCACTATTCCGCTGCCCACCCTGAAGCAACACAGACTTGGAACTTATTAGATCATGCTATTTATTCACATTGAAACTAAGAGTGATCACATCCTCTCCCTCATTGTGATGAAGTGCAAGAGCTGCTTCTAGAGCTCCAGGACATCATAAGCAATCACCACTAAGGTCTTCCAAATATTTTCCCATAGTTCTGTGAGAAGGAAGCATCTGGCATTAGACATGTAAATACCTGACAAAGAAAACAAGAGACTGAAAAATTGTCAAGGCCATGTTCATGTATCACATCGCAAGAAAAGCAAAATACTTTTTTTTTAAGCATATACTTTATTGCATTCTTTTGGAAAACATATTAGCATTTCCACACAATTCTGAAACTAATACGCAAAACAGACTTTGACATTTTATGCAGAGTCCAATAACAAATAAATTAAATTAACTGTATTCTTCAGCTACGAGACCTGCAAGATTTCAACTATACATTTGACATTCAAAAAAACAAACAAACAAACAAAAAAAACCCCACCACAAACCATAGACTCCCTCCTTCTGAGTCCCTCCAAACTAAAACACTTTACGCATGGATTTTTTTGGTTTTTTTAAACTCAATGATATATTTCCCATCTTCCACACAGAAGAGAACATCTCATCTACATTACACTCCTTTTCCACTAAAAAAGTACCGTGTTATAACACCTTCTCTCGTCAATGATAAACCCCTTATTTGAACAAGAGCAAGCTGAGCTCCCACATAAAGAGTAAGTAACTAAAAATGGCTTGGACTTGTCTGCTTGAAGAACTTTTTTAATACACAGATGCAACACATGAAGATTACAGGTTGCATGATGCAATACATCATCCTGATGGTAGCTGCCTATCATCCAGATTAAAATGTTACACTGTCAAACAGTGAAACATGAAATACGTGTGCAAATAACACTACAAAAATTGGATATGGATAAATACGCTACAGAGAGCAAGCCTCAGGCTTTTAACATGGGGCCAAAGTGGTCCTCAATTGAGCAACATTTCACTAACTGGTAAAACCTTTATGTTTGGCAAAGGGTCTTGGGTATATTCAAACTTGATTTGAGATCTCTGTTAGCTAATGAACCATACAAATTACAATTTAATTTTGTTATTATCAGATAGCACGAACTATCAATGAGCACCTGCAGCACAAAAAATAAAAATATTTACTAGAAACAACCAATTAGTAAAAAAAAAGCCCAGAGATCTTTAAATGTCTATTACCAAAGAAGTCAGACTTACACATTAAGAAAAAACTTGACTTCAGTTCTTCGACATCCTCTTCAACATTTTCCACACATACAGAAGAGGTAAATATGTAAGACTCAGAAAAGGCCACAGTCAGGAGGAACACTGAAAAAAGGTCTGGAAACAGAAGGAAAGGTATTTTAAAAGGCGTAAACACAAGCATAACTGAAAGAGTAAGTTGAAAAGCACAAATCCTTCACAATTTCACATTATGTGCATTTTTAATACAATGAAGATAGAAAAACTGTAAACACATTCTACCGTTCTCTACCAAATAACACCACCAAATACAATACACTTTCTAGTGGGACTAAAAATCGCTAGTGAACTCCTCCTAACAAGGCCCGTTTTAACCTTAGCTCTGTCACTACTTCTCACGCAGTCGTAAGTGGTAAGCATAAACATATGATAACTTAAAAACAAGACAGAAAGAAGTAACTGGTACCTCAGTCTATCAAATTTTAACTTGAACTCATAAGATACTTAAGTTTTCTTAAATAAAAATCATAATAAAATCTATAGCAAAGATCTAACTATAGTTTTCTAGAAAGTTCTGCAAAAGCCTGGGAAGTGGGTGGTATATTACAGTCACTATATTTGAAACAAGTAATTTTAAAGGAGATATAATGAAAGCAAACCCTGAAAATACATAAGCATGAGCCACAGTTAACTCTCAAAAAAAAAAAAAAAAAAAA